ATTGCGAATGCAAAATAAATAACTTCGTGAGATGATGTTGTAACACATAAAAGATTGGCAAACAGGGTACTACAACATCTATTCTATTACACGTAATCAGGTAGTTAATACAATTAGAGTATAAAATTATGCACATTGATATGTTTATGCGTTGTGTAGAGATTCTTCTAGTTTGTGATGCACACGTCCGTGTATTAGACATCCACTATACTTTGATTGCACTCATCAATACATTGAGAAACCTCTTCTAATGTACTTGACAAAATCTATATGCAAATCTCTATTCTTCCATATATTTTTATTTTAATTTTTACTAGTTCAGGTTAACTTATATTGACTATCTTATTTATTTTATTAATTTGAATGATTTTATCTAATTTTCTCATTTAGTTATTTTTTATTTTTATCCAAAGTTAGACTAATCCTTAAAAAAAGAAAAATAAATGATGAAGGTAGAAAGTTATTTTTGAATTTAAATAAAAATTCTAAAAAAAGGCGGACATGATAATTATTATTATTCAAAATTAACTCTTAGGGGCTGTTTGTTTCAGCTTCTTAATGGTTCAGATGTCTGAATGGTTCAGCACTTAATGGTTCAGACTGTTTGTTTCAGCTTCTTAATGGTTCAGATGTCTGAATGGTTCAGCACTTAATGGTTCAGACTGTTTGTTTCAGCCTCTTAATGGTTCAGATGTCTGAATGGTTAAAAGATTCGCCTCTGAATGATTAAGTATTATACAGAGTCTGAATGGTTAAGAACTCTTATCTGAATTGATCAGACATTTGCCTTTGAATAGTTAAGCAATATACTAGCTCTTAATGGTTCAGACCTCTTACTGGTTCAGCACTTAATGGTTCAGACCTCTTACTGGTTCAGCACTTACCGATTCAGAAGTTGCCAAACAGCCCCTTAATATCTCACAATTACATAGTACAATTACTACAATAAATGCTAATACTGTGGAATTAACTCTCATATACAATATAATGAGATCCTCTAGATACTCCAAACACCTTTTTCGATGCAATAAAGGTTATTAGTGGATACAGTGATGGTTTGATTTTGTCTCTTACTACTTTCAGTTACGTATCAACCGTTAACCTTTTTAGTTTAATTCATAATATGAAAATTTTACAATGATATGAAACTATGATAAAGTAATACTTGTACCTAATTCAAATTTGAGTCTCTTATTAATCTTTTCAAATAAAACTGTCATCACAAACGATTTAAAATTTTGAAGATCATCTAAAGAATTCCACAAAATTCATTATGCACCTTTTGTCTCATAAATTTATTTATGTGATTTGGATGTTGCACTTATTTTTACCCTCCTTCACTTAATTCTAGTTAGGGGTGTATACAAATCAAATAAAATGTATTTGATTCGTGATTCGTATTCGAAAAAGATGATTCGTATTCGCTATATTCGAATTCGAATCCAAATACAAATCATATTTTAGATTCGAATTATTTTCGAATTCGAATACAAATATTAATAGATTCGATTCGTTTATCATTCAAATTATTCGAATATTATAATCTATAAATAAATTTATATATATTTTAATATATTAAATATTTGTGCACATATAATTTTATATATATTTAAATATTATAATTTATAATTAAATTTATATATATTCTAATAATTTTTTACTACATTTTACATTATTATAAAGTAATAATTTAATGTCTTTAAGAAATTTGTTTTAAGAAAAAATTACTAATATTTTCGAATTCGAATATTCGAATACGAATTCAAATATGTCAAATATCTATCGAATCAAATACAAATGTTTTTTAAAATTCGAATTATATACGAATCCGAATTTCAATGCATATCACTTTAATTTTTTTTAATGCAAATGGTCTATAAATAGATGTGAAGGGTGGGATTGTAATCCTGCAAAACTCAAAATACAAAAGTGAACAAAATAATCTTTCTGAGAAGATATGATGCACCAAAATCTACTCAACCCATGGGGGAGAAGAGAAAACCAAAACTAAAAAAGCAAGCATTGAAATAAATATCCTAGGGGAAGGGGGATGCATAAGCAAAGAAAGTTCACAAAAGGCAACACATATCTTTCTCAATAAGAAGAAGCCTGTTAGTAGAAGAAACCGAGAACCTTTCCACCGGCGTTCTTTCTCCTGGCTTCTTCGTGGTCCATAATTCCGGCAGAAGTAGTCAGCACAATGTATCCAAACTGTCTTGATGGAAGCAACCTTGCAGTCCAACTTTCAATGTCTTTCACGCCAACATCAAAACGGGGACTGATTACTCCACACTTGTTCAACCTCCCATTCAGCTCAACTACAATCTTTCCAGATCTGTGATCATCGAATACTCAAACTCCCCAATGTATCCATGCTTCTGCATCACCATAAGAAACTTGATAATCACTTTTGATGAAGGCCTGATCATGACCTGTCTCTTCCCCCTCTTCTCGGCATTGTACATGCTCTTGAGGGCATCATTCAACACGCTAATCCTCACCATCTCTTAGCAAGGATGACGACGACTCCCGAGTCCTAATGAGAGGAAGAATTGGCGGCACACCCCTACTTCTAGTTTGGGGATTACACTAGTTTATAACGAGTATTCATGGTGACCTTTAACAATGTCGTATTATTCATTTTTTTTGGTATTTCTAAAAAATCAAAACAAGAAAATTTGACCAAAAAATCAAAACAAGAAAATTTGTTAGGACCAGAGGGAGTAAGATATTTCATACTCCCTCCATCCCAGAGTATTTGTCCATTTTTGACTTTTGAAACTGTTCATTTAAGCACTTTGACTCATCAAATTCTCTCAATGTGTAAGCCTAAATATAGTCATGTGTCATCTTGTTTGATTTGTCTTAACATATAGATTATTTATATATAATTTCTATAATTTTTTTTAATATACAAATTACAAGATAAAATGGATTAAAGAAGTGCAATAGATGATGTGTAAAAATGAAAATAGACAAATACTATGGGACCGAGGTAGTATGCACATATTTCCTAAACTTCAATTAATTACATGCAAATAACCACTTTTTATTTTGTAATTTGAGCCGAGGTAGAACCACTTTTTTATTTTTTATTTTGTAATTTGAGCTAACACCATGCAAAGAAAAGAAGGTTATTTGTATTAAATCACTTTTACGTCATCTCATTTAGTTTATTTACTCTTTATTTTGTACGAAGTAATGTTCAATAGAAAAATTAAGTTCATATAAGATTTAATTGTATCGTATTTTTTAATTAAGTAAATTAACACAATCACATTTAGATAACAAAATACATTTTGTTATCACAACAAGAACTAAATATAATGAGATTAAGATTTAAATATGGTACACTTTTTTTAATTTTACGATATGTTTATTTATTCTTTTTAAATTTTGAGTTCACATTTACTCATTCCGTCCCCAAAAAAATGTCCTCTTTTGAAAAACATGCAAAATCACATCCCTTTTAAAATGATTTTATTTATAGATTGGTACTTCGTATTAAAATAGAAAATATAACATACATATTTAAAAACTACATCAAAAGTTCTACAAAGCAAGTGATGACATTACTATTTTATTTTAATCAAAATGTATTCTAGACTAAAAAATATGTGTAAAAATACAATTATATGCTACCTCTACATTTGTTTAAATAAATACACATGGTAATAAATTGAGTTTATTGATTAAGTATCACAATACATTACAAACTTCCGAACTCAAAAGCAACATGCTATACTTTGAACAATACGAAACAAAGACACGTAAAACAAAGACATGAGAAAAATTTATATTAAGATATAACACTAAATTTTAATTGAATCTGATCTGATTTCATTAATGGTATGTTTGGGAACATGGATTTGGATTTCAAATCCGGATTTGGCCTAAATTCCATGTTTGGGAAACTTAAGCATTTTAAATTTGGATTTGAATCAAATTCTTTATATTCAAAACAAAGCTTAATTTGAAATCCATGCACCTCCCCTTGTCATTTGAAATTTTGAATTTCAAATTTTAGAATTGAAATGCATGAATTGAAATGAAATGCTAGTTGCCAAACACTACCTAAGATATAGCACTAAATTTTCCACTCATTTCATTTCCAACATCTCCTTCCACATGCAAACAAATTCAAAAACCCCATCTTCCATCTCCGGCTTCTTCCTCATCTTCCCCACCACTCCTCAGACCGGCAAGACGACTTTGCCTCCGCCGCGGCCAAACCCTCCTCGACTCCCAGCAGGAAAAGCTTCGTCGCCGCTGCCCTCCGCGCCCCGTCCTTCAAGGTGGACACCTACTTCGCCTCCGAGCTCAAACACTCCGAGAAGAAGGCCCTCTCGGACCTCAAGATCGGCCTCGCCTCCCTCGCCCCTGCCGCCTCCATGTGGGGCATCCCCCTCCTCTCAGGCGACGACCGCGCCGACGTCATCCTCCTCAAGTTCCTCCGCGCCCGGGACTTCAACGTCCCTCACGCCCTCCACATGCTGGCGAAATGCCTGGCGTGGAGGAAGGAGTTCGGCGCTGACGAGGTGGCAGAGGAAGAGCTGGCCGGGTTCGAGGAACTCCAAGGGGTTGTGGCCTACATGAACGGCTTCGACCGGTTCGGCCACCCGGTCTGCTACAACGCACACGGCGTGTTCAAAGACAAATAAATGTACCGCAGATTCTTTGGAGGAGACGGGGAAGAAGACGGCGAGGAGAAGCTCAAGAGATTCCTGAGATGGAGGGTTCAAGTTCTTGAGAGAGGGATAAAGCTTCTCCATTTCAAACCGGGTGGGGTCAATTCTCTGGTCCAAGTCACCGATCTTAAGGACATGCCCAAGAGAGAGCTTAGGGTCGCCTCTAATCACATCCTCTCCCTTTTCCAGGACAACTACCCTGAACTGGTCGCCCGCAAGGTCATTCATCATTCAAACTTCCTTTTTCTTTGGGTTTTCTTGGATTTAATTTCTGGGTTTTAATTGCATTTGAATGCAACTGATGATTTCTGGGTTTTTTTTGCAGGTGTTCATCAATGTCCCATGGTACTTCAGTATGGTGTACTCAATGTTCAGTCCATTCATGAAGCAGAGGATGAAGAGCAAGTTCCAATATGGGTTCATAATGGCTATCAGTTTTGTGTGTCAAGAATTGAGAATGGAGGTGGAGCAGGAAATCATCAAACTTTGGGAATGAAACGGGTAAAACTGTTGTATTATCAATTATGTAGTGGTGCTTTAATTTATACTGTATAATGTATGGATGCTTTGTTGATGGATTGGAAATGGTTACCATCTTCTATAGCTGTATTGGCGTTTGATGTGAGCAGGCTCTTCTAGAATATGTTTGTGGGCTTCTCTCATTTCCTATAGAATCTTCTCCCATTGTTAGAGTTCATTCAGACATGCAAATATGCAATATTTCCCACGGGTTTCACTAACATCATGCTTGAAAATTGAATGAATTTATTTTGCAGCGTGTTCTATTCGCCTACATGTCTTTATTTGCTGGATCTGTTGTAGCTCTTGGAGTGATAGTGTCCGCAAAACCATTAGATGATTTAGGGTACAAGGGGTTGACTGTTGATCAGAATGTTGTTACCTCTCCTTATGCATCATCTGTTTACCTTGGTTGGGCAGTGGCATCTGCAATTGCTTTATTAGCTAGTGGCTTGTTGCCCATCATATCATGGTTTGTAACATATCGGTTTCCCCTCTCATCTGGTATTTCTGTTGGTATATTTGCAGGTAATTGATTCCTTCTCACTTTAAAGAAGTGTTCAGGTTATTTTCTTTGACATTTGTTCACCTGCTGCACTAATACCGATTGACACTCTTTCTACTCTATCTGTTTGTAGCTGTTCTTGTGGCATTTTGTAGTGTCTCGTATTTGAAAGTTGTGAGTTTGAGGGTTGATCAAGTCCCGATGAAGGAAGACTTCTTGGCTGCATTGCTTCCACTGTTATGCATTTTTGCAGTCCTTTCACTTTCTTCTGGTTTATTTAAATGGTAACGTTGTTTGCCAGAACCAACTGATCTTTAGCAAGCTTATTCGGATTCATTTCACACTTCTAAACCATTGTACTTGAATTGTACGATGTGAGCTGCTCCTCATTTAGAGTAACTCTATTGTAAATATTATCAGGAAAGATGATAACTGATAACTGGAAGCTTTATCGAGGTGCCTATATATTCATTATTATTGGTCTTCTTCTTCAGCTTGGTGCCATTTCGGCCATCATAGTTACAGTGCATCCTTGGAGGGTTAGTCAATACTATTGGTTAATTTATCTCTTATTATTGTTTTTCTACTTTCAGATGTTGAATTTTCCATTTGCTGGGCAATGCTACGCTCTTATAGCAACTATGAATCCATTAAGGGGCTTATGTGATGGTACTAGACTTCTCTATGCAAGACCGTAGATTGTGGCTAGATGTGATTACTGTATGTGGTGAATGAAACTAATTCAATGTTCTACAAGTAGGAAATTTTATTCACTTAATTATTAAAATTTAACATTTCAAATATTATATGAATTTGTTTTCTAATAAAGTCAAATTGAAGATTTGAAGTAAACAATCCATTTTTTAGTGATAAACAGTAACTCAGAGTCTTCAATAATTAATGCCAAAGATATTAAGGGAGTATGATGAAATAATAGCCGTGCCCTCAGCCATATGTAAATAGATTAAAGATATGACAAACTACTGAACTAGCGTTGATGTAAGATGGATTAATCATTAAAGAAATCCTATTTGATAACTTCAAAAGTCTTATTGACGATACTCTTATTGTGTGTGTGTGTGTGTCTCATTTGTTAGTAAAAGTAGGTACAACCCCAATTCAGTAAAGGTTTCTTAATCATTAAACTACAGTCTGCCAAGTTACCTTTCTGTCTGGTGGTCAAGACATACACAACCATACCATTTTAAAAATAGAGAGGCTGCTTATGTTAGACCCTTCTTGCATTGCTGCATTTACTACTCAAAATTTCATAGAAGGTAGGATTAGGAAGTAAATGAAGTTTAATGTGCCTTTTTGAATTAAAGAAGAAAAATTATCTTATTCCAATTAAGTCTAATAAAATTACTCTTCTCTAATTGAAACAGCATAAAACTACAATAGGCAGCACTGACCTGATTTTTTTTTT